CATTTTGGCTTACAAAGAAGGTCAATGAGAGAGGAACTGGTTGCAATCATGGTTAGCGGAAATGCATTTTCTGGTACATGAACACTTTTGACTATACTTGATATATATATATATATATATATATATATATATATATATATATATATATATATATATATATATATATATATATATGCAGTAGCGTTAACATCTATATGCGAGACATGGGTTTTTAGGTGTTTTTTTTTATTTGTAGTTACATCGGGTGTTTCGTATCTTGTTATTAGTTTAGTTAGACACATTTTTGTGACAATCTTCTTGGCGTTTTACTGCGAGTCAAAATTGTAAAAGACCAAAGTCTTTGAAGTTTGTCCGTCAGATAAGGAGATTCTGCTGATTGAATTTTGTTTCAGATCAAGTTACGGACCGCACAAATACACAACGGAAGGATAAATGCGAGTATCCTTTACCAAAACCTTGTTTTATAGATATTCTAACAGATTATACGATTAATAAAGTCGTCAAATGTTTTGAAACTATTCAGTCGGGCAGCTAAGCCGGAAAACACTATTACCAAAAAATAGTAATTCGGGAACCTTAAAGGTTATTACGTATTGAAAACATTCAATAAATGTTGTAATTTTGTGATCCAAAATGTACATATATAGGGCGGGAGAGGTTTCAAATAACAATCAATTGTTACCCTATTGCAGGACAATGAGTACACAGAAATACTCAAAGAAACATGTTTGTAGACACTTTAAATAATACGACAACTTAACAGATAGCCTAATTAACGACTGTCGTAAACTAATTTCACGAAGTGTGTCGAAGGCATTGTGTCGAAGCAAAACATATGATTTTTCAATGTGGGTATTTGCTCTTTGAGTTTGTGCGGGGTATACGTAGAATGTATTGTTGGTCAAAAGCTGATTAACAATGACTCCTTTTGTATTTGATACGGAAAAGGACTAAAAGAAAATTCACGGTTTTACAAGGAAATTTGGGACATTCTTGCGTAATCTTGTGACAATTATGAGAAGCATATACAAAAACCAATGGAATCATATCCAATCATGCACTATTCTTAATATGGAAACGGACCTTTGAGAAGTTACTTTCAATATAATCTGAGAAGATTGCGCGGGGCCACGAGGAATAGAAAAAAAGAATAGCAGGTATTTTTTTCAATGGTGTTTTGGAATATTTGTAGGGGAACCCATTTGTAGGTGTGTATGATATAAGACGATGCAAGTCTGAGACATTTAATTAAGTCGCACTGTCTTTATCTATATTTGACCAAGATCGGGCAGTATCAAATTATTTGATTTTTGTATGAACAAACCAAATCCTCTCGTTCACCGTTGACTTTGGTCTACATACAGAAAAGTTTTTCAGCAATGTTTTGGACTCAGTGCTTATTTGTCAATTTCTCTGGCGATTTTCAGTGTCATCTGTAATAATAATGAATAATGGCTAATATATATAATCCACCGAATTCTTAAAGTTACCAGTTATAAACTTTGAAATTATGTCGACATCAAAACCATGCAAAGGACTGCAACTAGACTTGAAAGGAACTTTGATTTCGTCATTGTAATGGAATATTGTGATTTCTCTTCAACTTTTGCCGTTTTGAAAACTTCGAAATATTAAAATGGAGAGTTTAACTGTGTTAAACAGCAGACGTTCGCGTTGCCATTACACATTTGTTAACGGAAGACTGACAGATGTCCAGTATAAGCCACTGTGTATAGACAGCATGGGATACTTATCCAGTTATCCTAACAACACCTACTCCAGTTGTCCCAACAGCTCCCACTCCAGTTATCCTAACGGCTCCTACTCCAGTTATTCTAGTTATCCTAATCCATATGACGGTAAGGGACGAGAGAGAGAGAGAGAGAGAATCTAGAATAGTTGACACAATGTATCTTTTATGTGTATATATGAAAGATCTTCATGGGTGTTTAAAAAAATCAACCAAACAAAACTATGTTTTTTTTTACTTGATTAGTCTTGTGTTAGAATTAATACAAAGGTTAACATGTTAACAAACATAAATCTTTGTCAATAGGCAGCAGACTGTATACCAATCATGGATTTTATTTTTAAGTCACGGAGAAATGGGGAATTTCACTTAAAATCACATGCACATGTAATTTTTTTCTTTAGAAAAATTACCGTTTTGTGGCATTGGCATACAGAATATTCATGTAAACAATTTCATAATTGCAGCTGCATGTTTATAATTATTTAAACTATTTTGTTATTGTTGCCCCCTTGCATACCTTTGGGGAACTAACCTCATTTCAGCCTTAATTAAATTCCTTTAAAATTATCCATTCATTGACTGATCTTTTTTTTAACAATGTAGCTATCCACCAAAAATTCATTTCAATCGATGTTCTTTAAAACCAAGCTATTGTTGTTTTGAGAATATACAGGCGAGTGCAAAGGCCTGACGTATTTTTCTCTGATTAGCTTGCAACTTTGACATCGTATCTATTTGATCAAAAATGTTTTAAAAGGTTGTGTTATACAGTTGTTTTCGTTCAACACAATCCAGGAATCAATGTAAAAATATTTCATTATTTAGGATAATCGTATGACAAGTACGAACTTTCAATACACAGCTCGCCTTTATAATCCCTCTTGAATAGATCAAGTTATTTATGTGTTAATTCGAGCAATATTTTAAATAACAGTTCTATCGGATTATCCTACTGTTAATAATCCACTGTATTTAGTTGAAACAGGTCCTAGTTTCATGTTTTTATCTGTTAGAACAGGTGCTTGGGGACGGGGCCCCCTCCTCCCAGGGATATTCGACTTATTGTTCAGAAATGATTTTTAGAACACATTTTTAAAGTATTCCAATTGAAACATCCTTTAATAAAATGACCCAAAAGGTTTGTTTTACATGTGGGTTATTTTTCATTTTTATTTGTTAATTTTTTTTTAATTTTCATTTTTCATTTTTACATATTCCTAAATATCATATATTACAATACAAACATTATATCTCATACAAGTAGCAAGATTTTAACAAGACGTTCAAGGGCCACAACACTCACCTGAGTCGCCTATACTTTCTGACGAATAAATAAGTAAATAAATAAAATCTTGATTGTTGTCATTAACAAAATTTCATTTATTTTAATAGCAGAATATGGGAGCTTGAAGTCAATTTTACAATTTCTAGTCTCGTTGTATTAGCAAAAGTTTATTTATTTTTGGGGTGTCAAAATTTGACCTACTTCTATGGTTCCCACCCTAGTCTTAGAGATGAGGATTTAACTAACTTGAATCTACTTGATTACATTAGGATACTTACATTTGTACGAGGTTTGTCCTAAAATTCCTTAGAAAATAACAGGTGCACTTATGGTCCCCGGTAAAAGGTGAAAAAATGAAGATTCAAATTAAGCATAATTTTTTTTTTTATCTCACATCATCAATTTATATCTAAACTATAAGACAAATTTTAGCGCTGAATATTTCATTGTTTGGTGTAGGAAGGGGGCACTACCCAAAAATTGCAATGAAAAAACGGTATATAATATTCTCTGGTAGGCCAGTGGCTCTTGAAAAGATATTATAAACGACCCCAGTCTATTTTCACCATTTCTTCATCATGTCCCTTTGAAAAAGGGCGCGACTTTCATTTGAACAAACTTGAATCATTTTCACCCAAGGATTCTTGTGTTTCAAATTGGCCCAGTGATTCGAGAGAAGCTGAAAATGTGAAAAGTTTACAGACAGACAGCTGCACGGACATCTTCGCTAGCCAAGGGCTTCTGATACGCTACTCTCCACATAAGCCCTTGGCATACGGTGTTAAAAAAAGTTGGGATTGTTTTCGTCACGTGATCACGAGGTTCGCACAGATTGCGTCATCGACAGAAATAAAAAGCGTATTAAATAACATAATGTTTTTAAAGAATAATTAACAAGAAAGTATTGAGTTATGTTAATTTGTTATTAAACATGTTAAAATGCAAATCTACATCTTCAGTATAGATTCTTAATCACATATTTTGCACGTAGCTTAAGATATTGGATGATACCATATAGCTATTCATAGAATGGCATGTTATCTTACGGATCGTTGTTTACTTGCGTTTTTCATTCCCGATATTAAAGAGTCAATATATATCCCGAACGCAAATATCGTCATTTACAAAAAACAATTTCTGATTGGTCGAACGATCAACTCCAATCACAACTTGAGAAAAAAATCCCAACTTTTTTTGACACTGTATGCCAAGGGTTTATGAGGAGAGTAGCGTATCAGAAACCTTTGGCTAGCGAAGATGCTGCACGGATGGCGGAAATCTTTCGATTAACAGATTAAAAAAAGTTTACTTGAGCCTTGGCTCAAGGTAGCTACAGTCAAAATAGTTGTGCAAATTGTTTCTTTGTAAATTGCTTTAAATCATTGTTCCTACACAGATTAATAATGATAGGTCACATATCATGGTAAATCTATTCGAATACGTGTTTCACAAAACTGTGCTGAACATGACTGTCTGTACGTGCAAGAGATACAACGCATACATTCATTAAGAGTATAAATCTAATTCCCGCCTTTTTTCAATTAGATACACGCATCAGTAACATTTACATTAATGTAAATATGGTCGGCATAGATTAAGAAAACATGTTTTCAATACTTGATAATTCAAAATTCCTTTCCATCTTATCGACTAAAGGTACGCCAAAAAATTATTGAAGAACACTAAGACGCAATACATGAGTCGGTTGCAGTGGGGTTCGGTGCAGACGTATTACACCGAAGTCTGAAACTAACAATTTCTGCTATCGTTTGATGCCAATATTTTGATAGACACTTCTTCTGTTTACTCTTAGTTCCTTTGTGTGGGGAGGACGGGATCCTGAAAAATCACTTGGTTTTACGACGTTAATTGTTTCGAAAAAATGTAATTTAATGAATTTCGATCTGCACTCAAGATTTTTCCCCTCGAAATGGAAAACTTCAAAGACATTCTGGAATATAAAATGGTCACTGCTTCACAAGTTCTAAACTGTGGCGATTGGAAGAAATTCGGCGTGGAACCGTAGTCTTTCCTTTCCACTGGTTTTAGACGTGCGAACATTTTGCGTCAATGCTGATTATCATACCATTCCTTAGATTCGGTTTTGACTCGGCGAGGAATATCTACACGTGTTCTCATATGCATTCTTTCTTTCCCTAAAAAGACAACAGTTTCCGCACAATAATTGCACTCTGTCACTATGGCGTGACGAGCAAAGAAGGCCTCTTTTAAGAGCGGTGTGAAAATTCTTCTGTAATATACTTAACTGGATTGTTTTTACCTTCAAGTTTTGCTTTATTTCTTGGAATTTTCAATTTTGAGCTATCCTATCATTTTGTCGCTTATTTGGAGGGCACTTGACGTACTTTGAAAGCAGGTGGGTTTTGTACCCCATGTCATTTTCTACCATCATCACTTGTACAGTCCATTCCCAGTATCACGCCCCCTTTAAGTGTGATAACGAGTTGATAATGTCATATTAACAGTGACAGAAGTCTAACCAATGCTAATTAAACTTCAGCTAACAGGATTTTAAATTTGTCTTGAATATAAAAATGACAGAAGACAAGTACCGTTACCAAAAGCCGCCTGGTCCAGTTATACAGGCCGACAAGAAAGGTAGGCCCCGGTGTTGTTTAGTGTTTCATCTCATTTGTACTTCGTGCAGAGATTTGTTTGACTCTTAGTTTGTTGACAGGACTTTTTAAAAGTAAATACTGGAATGTTTCGAAAATTTTACTGAATGCTTGGATCTCTGATTGGTTGCAATTATTTTCAACAGGAATCTTAGAAAGGAAGGATTTAAAAAAAGGGGGGGGGGCTTACAAAGCGGAGTCTGCAGATTACAGATAAACTTTAATTAACAAAGTTGGCGACTTTAATACATTTTATGTTTCTATTTGTGACCTATAGCTTATTACAATATTGAAGGCTCTGTCCGTTAGACAGGCTGTAGAAATTTTGTCCTGTAATGTATAGAGAAGAGGTTTACAACATGAAGGTGCATTGTAACATTTTGATTTAACACGCATTCTCTATTTCCCTTAGTCATACATATCTGTCTATACTCTTATTACCTCACATTGAGTATATGAGCAAAATGAGAGTACAACTGCATGGAAATCCATATCGATAAAAATGGCCAGTATCTTCTCATTTCGTGTTTTTCTCATATTTCCATCACCGAAATTTATAAATTATCCACCCACCCCCAGGTCATATTCGTAAGGATTATTTTTGCATTCATTTATCTAAATTATTTTGATTTTATTCAAATTTTTCAATGTACCGTAGCAAAGGACGTTTGACTGATAATTACGCAAATATGTAAGTAGACAACGGATGAATTAACTATTGTTTTGAGCATATTTTATTGACCATATGTCAGTGGAATTGGACAAAAATTACTATAACTTAGGTACTCCTCTCCTGAACAAGCTGTCAAAGTATCTGATAAATCTACGGAAATGGTCAACTTATGATTGATTTTAAGACTTCTTAAATACATGTTGGAAAGGGGGGTGAAGAGAGGAGGGGGCGGGTGTGAAGATAGTGTGTTTAGCTTACTCGAGCCAAAGGTTCGAGCGAGCTTTTTGGATCGAAATTAGTCTGTTGGTTATTGCTGTCAGCACTTTCTTGGTTGTAATTTTTGCACAATTTCATCTTCTTTTGTCCAGAACCACTGGGTCAAATTCAATCAAACTTGGCTCGAAGCATCGTTGGATGAAGAAAATTCAAGTTTCTTCAAAGAAGGACTGTGTCCTCTTCCAAGGGAAGATAATCAAGAAAAGACCATAAAAGTTGGGCCTTTAATTTTCTCAAGAACCAATGGGTCAGAAAATATGAAATGTGAAAAATTCCTGACGTAGTTTAGATTCACGATTGTTCAAATCATGACCCTCGGGGGAGGGCGGGACCACAACAGAAAAGTTTTACATTGGAATTCTTTAAAAATCTTATTCTGAAGAACAACAGGGCCATGATAATTAAGTCATATCAACATGCAGACATCTCCAGGTTGTTCAAATTCATCCCCCCCCCCCCCCACAGCGGGTTTAGGCTGGTCCATAATAGCGATCATTTTGGTGGTGGATTATACAGGGAAAAATCTTTTTCTCAAGTCGATAAGGACCTAATAATTCATATTGTTCATATCAGTACAAGCATCATTAGAAAGTGCAAATTGAAGCTTGTTCGAATCGTGGCCTCCGGATGTAAGTTGTGGCCACAGCAGATGATCAGATTGTTACATGGGAATATAAAGAGAGAAAAAATCGTTTCAAAATGTGCAGAACATTACTATAAATCACATAATTAATCTGGAGATATTCCCATGTATTGATTCATTTAAAAAAAATCAAATTATGAATCGGAGCTAAAACGGGTAGGGTATCAAAATTTGCATAGCACATGTTTACAATTAAAAAAGAAAAATCTTCTTTAAAAAAGAGCTTCTTCATTAGAACATCAAGAACATCTTATGTCGGTATTGAAGCGTGTTAATTACATGTGGACTGAGATCATTTATGCAGGTTCGGTATTTCTTGATCCCCTGCGTGAAGTTGGGAGAAGGGGGCACAGTATGGATATTTTTTTTTTACCTTGGATCATGTGGAATAAAGTTTTTAAAAAAAATACTTAAAAATGTTCTAAAGAACAACGGGTCCAAGATGTCTCAGATGAGTGCTCTGATTTTAACCCCCCCCTTTTTTTTTTTTTTGCAAGGCAAACTCGAATTGAATCAGTAACAATCAAGCTTTATTTACTCCCACTTCTTCTGTATTTTTTTTTTTGTTATATTCCAGTTTGCAATTGACTAATGAATGGTGCAAACTCCCGGCATGGAAATGTCATCCCGTTGAAATTTAGATAAATCCATATGGTAAATTTTGTGCGCATCTGTAGTGAGGACCTCTTCAATTTTGAAGGCTAGAAAAGTACTTGGTGGAGGTTTTTACGAAAGATGCAACCTTTACACAGGTGTGTTATCATAAGAGATATTGACCACGTAGGTTTGTCACCTTTGAAAATTGATGATATTCTAATGCAATGAATAAGGAAATTTGATGATTTATGTTAATTATCAAATTAAGATGGTAACATTTGGGCAATGCATCAACCAATATTTCGCTTCACAGTTACTGTTCCAGGTTACTGTCAGTGTCAAAAGTAATATGAGTTGGACACTGGTTCATTTTTTTTTCAAGTGTAAACTATTAAATAAGGCCAGAAGACGTGTAGGCAGCAAAACTTATCAGCTGATCACTATGACTATTGTATAATATGCAATGGTTATTTGCACCAGTAATATTTTTTTTAGCTCATCTGAACTGACAGTTTGAGAACTTTTCTGATCACCTGTCGTTTGTCGTCTGTCTGTCCGTCTGTTAACTTTTTACACGTGACTTCATGACTTCAGCAGAACCACTGGACCAGTTTTAGCTAAATTTGTCACAAAGCATCTGTGGATATGGGAATTCAGAATTGTTCATATGAAGGGCATTAAGACCCTCATCCAAGGGGCTATAATCAAGCAAAGACAATAAAAAGAAGAAATAGGATGGGCTTATTTAAATCATCGTCATCTCATGAACCACAAGGTCAGTAAAGATGAAACTATATGAATAAAGCTTCCTAACATAGAGTGTAGATTCAAGTTTGTTCTGACTTAAAAAATGAGTAGGATGGGGATACAATAGAGGATAAATGTTTACATAGGAATATATAGGGGGGAAAATCTGTAAAAATTTCCCCCTTTACAATATCAAAACCCTGAATAGTCATATGAAGGTAGTGTGCCAGATTCAAGTTTGTTCAAATCATGGCCTATGAGGGTAAGATTGGGATGGGTCAAAGTTTACATGGGTGTACACTATATATAAAGACATCTTTAAAATATCTTCTCAAAAACAGCATGACAGTGGTTAGACATATCAATATGCAAGCATCTTCAAGAAGTGCACATTCAGATTTGTTCAAATCATGGACCCCAATATGGAATCTATGTTACACATTCTAATATATTGAGGAATAAAATCTTTAAAAATCTTCTTTCATGAACATCAAGGATATAATTTTTCATAATGATATATGCAAGCATCCTCAGCTAGTGCAGATTCTTTTTCCCCCCAAATCACATCCCCCATCTCCCGACCCCCACCCTGGAGTGGGGTGACCATAAAGGATCAAAGTTTTATATGCAATAAATATGAAAAAAAAAATTTAAAATTGAGGATGAGACAAATTTAGTAAAATGTGGTAAACTAAACTTTTTAATTTTACATATTTCATGAAAAGATTTAGATGTACATGTATACAAGACATGTATATCACTAATGAAGACACAAATTAACAATTAAAAAAGCTAGCTGGACAAAGTTTATATTATTATTTTCTAATCATTATACATTCATGAGCCACCTAAGATGTGTTCACTGGGTTGTTCCTAAGACCTGGTGGTCAGGAAATTCTTGGGCACAACCCTGTGTGTTACTGTAATTCCTTTTAGATAATTCACAATATTCCTTAAAGGGAGGCAAATCTGTCATCACTGATTACATTCTGTGTAGGCTAAATATGATTTATATGTCATCATGCCTCATATTTGTTTATATTTTCATTTTTACACACAATAATAAAAACTTGTTTATCTTGTACATTCAAAAAATTTAATTTATGGGTACCTATAAAGACATTTAAGAAATTAGTAAGGTCTACCTGAAGTTTTATTTTCTTTTGATACCTTCCCTAGTAATGACAGTTTGGTCTCTATCATTAAATGTTGACTAATCACCTCTGAGTGTTGGCAATGAAGGAACTTGTCTCTATGGATTTCTTCACCCTTAATCTTCAGGACCCCCCCTACAGACATAACAACAAGAACCAGACGATAAAAAAAAAATAATAAATTGTGATTAAAAATAGCATCTCCAATTTTGATTTTTTTTTTTTTTTTTTTACTCTCTTGAGACCTTGCTGAGGTGAGACGAATGAAGTTGATTGGTGTGTAATCTGCTTTAGGCAGGGATACCTTATAATTCAGAAATGGTAGACAGTTGATGCCTGATAACAACATAGGCTTCTGTTTATCAATTATAAGTGTATACAGGGGAGTTTTCTTTTCACTGCTGGTGAGGAAATTAAGCCGAAAAGATAGAAAAAGGGTAAGATTAACTGTCAACTGTGGGTTCATTTCTTTAAAATCTTTCTTACATACTTGTGCCTAATGTCGCAATTTTAATCAAGGGAGAAAATGGTAATGTCAAATTGACATGTCTATCAGGTGAAATTGGTTCAAGGGAAATTAAAATTCAATTTATTTCCTGTTGAATTCAAGTGTTGTGGGAGATTGTGATTCTCTGAGGAAGTCTGCTATGA